CCTTGGCTTTGGTAGATGTGACATCAAGCCTTGAGGAGACCTGGAGGAGCAGCTGAAGGTCAGACAAGGTGGGACATCTCTAATGGTCAGTGTGAGGGTAAATCAAAGGAGCAGCAGGATGGAGCTGAGCTTTGAAAATGAGGGCTCTGTCCTTCTCATCTGCCCCCTGTCTTGAGCATTTCAGAGCCACCAGGCCTTACCCAGCATGAGCAGCCTTTCAGTGAARCCACAGYCTCATTCTGCAAATGGGAAAAGTCRGAAGGAAATGAAACGGGGAAGATAAGGGGAAATACAAAAGAAGAAAATTCAGCCTCCGCARTGGTGGTTTAATAGGAATAATTAAGTGGGTTATTATCCTAAAAAGCAAGAAAGACATTTTTAAAGTTGTGTTTGATTAAGATTCAAAAAGTGTGAGTGGTATTTACAAGCCCTAAACCAATGTCTGTGCTTGAACATTTTGGGAGAGCAAAGGCTGGGTTGAATCTGTTTTTCACCAATGTTACTGAAAATTACCCCTTTCACTGTGTTGTGATCCACCTCYCTGTCATTCACCAGTTCTCAAAGCACTCATTCAGCTGATCTCTTGGAGTTCAGCTTATTCTGATGTTTGTAGCTTATTCTGGTGTTTCCAAGGTGAAGGTTTCTTCCTCACCTGGATTTATCCCAGACTGGGATTTCTGATCCCACCCAAACCACCTGAGGCTGTGAAACCAACCCCAGACAGCCAGAAAGGACAGCTAGATCTGAAAATCCAACTGTGACACCTTGGGAATCACTTGGAGCTGGGGAAAACATTTTAAAAATATTTTCAGATTCTCAGACCYTGTGAAACATTGATAGAACTTGGTGTGGGGAATCTGATGGATGATGAGCTAAAGCAGAAATCCAAAACACGAGGATCTGACCGTGCAGAGGTTCTGAAGGTCCACCCACATTTCTCTGTTGCRTTTTGACCCCAACCATGCTTCTTTTTGAGGAGCAAATCCCTCGCTCTCCATCCTACAGCTCCAGAGGGGCCGTGCTTCAAATTCTGCTGTCATTTCCTCCAACAACTCCCCGAGCTCGCACAGATCATTGCAACGCTCGCTCGTGAAATATTCCAGCTGTCTGCTGCAATCCTAAGTAGCTCTTGGAAGGCCTTTTTCTGAGCCATTAGCATGGAAGTAATCTCAAGTGACTGGATATATATTGCAGCTAATGGTAGGTCTGGAGCTGTGGGGTGGAAGCATCCAGAGCCTGGAGAGCAGCCAGAGCTGGATCTGCGCAGAAAAGAGGAGGAAAAACATGTGTAGGGGCACTCACACCTCTCTTCAGCACAGATCTCCCCCAAAACC